TCGATTCGTGTCTTATCATGGCGCGGATCGGTGGCTCGAAGGTCTCTCAAACACGCGGCGTCTCCCCCGGGGCCGTTGCTTCCTGGCATCATGTTATTAACGATCAAGGGGAAGAGAGAGGGCCAACGAACCGATGTGCAAATCGCCCGTCACGGCGATGTTGTCGCGGCCGATTGAGATACTTCCGGAGCCGCCATTCTGGATTGACTGGCCATGGATGTGTGTTGGACCTCCTGGAATGCTGGTTTGGTGGAAGGCGGGTCTAAATGCAGGCTGCCCCGAAGGACAGGACCGAGGAGCGGGAGAGATAGACCCACTGAGTCTACGTTTTCTGGAGAGACTGTCCATAGATAGTATGCTTGCAAATATAGTCAATACAGTAAAGTCTTGTTTTCGCGAAAACGCACTTGATCGCGAAGAAAGACAGGGATAAAGCGATCAGCAAATCGCGGGTGTAATGAGAAGTGTTGTATTGTGGGGTGTTGGATGGAAAAGGTAACCATAGAGCGGTGTGTCAACAGCTGACTTCTAAAGTACGTTGCCCCACTAGGCTACCAGGTTTGCGCCTCCCGTCCATGTCTATCACGTGACCCTGGCCTCGCCTGGCCTAATGCACTATTCTACTTAGTACTAAATTTCTGTGCCCGATCAGCCTTGCGTGGCTCTGTGTGCCAAGCCACATGGGTTGTGAGCACAGACGCACCAGCCAATGCTGGTCCTGTGAAACTGCCTCGGCACAAGACCGTCTGCCTTATCCGTGCTGCACCAATGTATAAGCTAACCCCTTAGTTTTCACTTCGTTCAGACACGGGGCATTATAATGGTAATTAGTCCGCCTATCTGGAGTACTTTATGAGCCGTCTTATGTTAGAGCTGTGCTTTCTTATTCTTTGTTAATACATCAGTGTTTGATAACTTGTGCTCTGACCTTGTAGTCTCCTTGGACGCATATACGGCCGGGCTATCAATTCGGCACAGCCTCTTTAGCCTTAGCTGCCTATTGTACCAGATCGTAGATGATAAATGATACGCGAACAGCCCTCCCCAGACCGCTAGAGCCAGCAGGGCCACGAGCACGACCAGCCCCAAAGTCGCCAGCGCAATGCTGTAACTGAAAGCCTGGAAGACTGCGTCGTCACTAAATCTCGCCGTGGCGAGCGCGACCTGCAGCGCGGAGAGCACGACGGACGGATACACGAACACGACGATCAGCCAACCGAAGTTGCGCTCGAAGAGGGTCGTGTAGCGCTGCGACCCCGCGGCGAATCCGCCGGTGACGTTGCGCGCCGACCAGCCTGCGCGTCCGATGCGGACGAGCCGGCTGAGGCGGGAGAGGCGGAGCTCGCCGTAATCATATCGCCAAGGCGTATCGTCGGCAATTTTCTGAAGTTCGGCGCGATGGGCTGTCCTAGTGATCTCGCGATGGAACTCAAATGATGCTTTGATTACGTCCCGTGCGAGGCATGACCAGGCACGCCAGTCAACGTCCGTCGGTATCAATCCTGTCTCGTGTGCGATTCGGAGGTCGGGCTGGGATTGGATGAGCCAGGTATACGACAACAGCATTCCTAGGGCGCTGCTGTACAAGGTAGCATCGTGTGGACAGATGCTATAAACCCAGAAGCTATGGCTCAGAAGATACTCGGGCAACGGCTTAATAAAAATAGAAGCCTCCTGCCAGACCAAGTGCTCGTCGGGCCGCTCTGTGATGAGGATCGCGCGGTTTAATTGCCGCTGGCGGTGAAGAGGGCGCGCAGGCCGCATGAGGCCGGCAGTCCAGAGGTACTTGTGCAGGCGGTCAAGCTTGGGGGTCTGCAAGTCGCGGGCGAGAACCGCGAAAGGGTCGGTCGTGGCATCGGCAAACTCGTCATCGTGTTGGAGCGCGATGGGCAAGTCGGCGTCGACTTTGGTGCAGCTTCGCAGGGCATTGTCTGCGGAAAATGGCGGGTCCCTTGGGACTGTCCCGTCGTGGGAGGAATGCTCCATGGCTGGGGTCTGACAAGTCGCAGAGAGATTTGCCTCTTCTGGCGTTGCAATTGACAAGAGCGGTCTTAAGTACAGAATGAACCGCAGTCCTGACTCAACTAGGCGGCCTCGCTAGGCAGACTACACTTACGCTAGCAAGGCTTTTGCGTCGTACGGAGTTGGTGCTGCATGACAAGAAGAGGGCTCCCGGGCAGGCTTGTCACTGTAAGTCATTATTTTACCACTGATGAATGCCCACAACCACACCCAAGAAATGGCGGGTCTGTGGCAATGGCCTGCGACGCAGCAGTGCATGCTTGTATGACTTTGCAGGTACGGATCGCCTTATACCTATTCATAATGCTCGCACGATTGGCACACTCTATCTATAATGACATTGATATTCCAGGCGGACCGAGGGCAAGCAATCTAAGTGTATGCACCGACTGGTTACTCACTATGCAATACTCCTGCCACCACCAGCCAAGCTCGGACTCGCTCAGTTGAGCTCAGACGCGATGTAGGTATAGCTCAGGTACTACTCAAGCTTGTGGACAAGGGAGGCATTTAGCACGATTGAGACCAGGCTGCGATTTACATGGCGATTGTCTTGGACTCCATGTTGTGTACTGCCGAGTAGTGCTGTAGTCTGCAAAAATATACCCCAACCATGCTGAACTTCGACAACCATGTTTGGTGCATCTACAACCCCACTACCATTTCTTTTCTGTCTGTCCCGTGCCTGCCCACAGTTCGACCAATCATGCAGTCTTTGTCGTTGCCGTCGGAGTAGTCGTGGTCCTCCGGGTTGTAGACGATGTCGTGAATTTGCACGTGCCCTGGGGTTTTTCTGATCGATACGTCGGAGTGGGGAAGTTGGGCACTGGCGTCTTGGGCGCTATCCCGACCGTAATGTTGGCTGACCCGGCGCCGCGCTGGCCTTCGATCGCAATGTCCATATACTGCTGCCTCCCCAGCTTCAGCCCCGCGGCCTCCCAGGCGCGAAAGTGATTGCCCGTGTTGATAGTCCCGCCGACGTGCCTGGTGGTGCGGACGGACCAGAACTGCTGGAAGTTGGTCTTATCGCCATCGATGGACGGCGCGTTGATACGCTCCTTTTGCCAGATCTCGTAGGTCCCGCCGTCGCTCTGGAGGCAGCCGTACTGCGTCGCGCTCCTGTTGTCGGCCGGGTTGTGGGCGCCCATGTATTCGATGACGTAGTACTCGACCAGCGGGTTGCGCGTCCAGCCGTAAAGGGCGAGGTAGGCCCAGCCGGTGGTGCTGAATGTGCCCGAGTAGTTTACGAGCCTGTGGTCCAGTCAGTCAGCCGTAGTGACGGAATAGTGTGTTGCTGATCATGGAAATACTTGCATGTCTCTGGCCGGCTGGTAGCCTCTCCCAACTACGAAGTTACCCCCAGGCCTGTTATTCCACACTGCCGAGAACGAGCCGTTCGGTCCGGTCTTGAAGTCGACTGTTGCAAATTCGTTTTTCCAGTTCTGAACCGCATTTGGAGCTTGGCCATTGACGAGGGAAATGGTGCTGGCAGCAATGGCCGCCAGGACAGTGGTAGTTGGCCAGAGCATGGTGAGCGGGTATTCGTAAGTTGTCTCTACGCTTTGCTTGCGAAGTCTCGGTATTGCGCTTGTTATCAAGTCCTCTCTATACCCAAGATATGTCTCGTCTTATAGATGCGTTGAAGAGACTCCTCTTTAACCCTGCCAGCTGAAAACTGCATATCGTGGCTTGCGTCTTGGCGGGTCGCCGGTCCGCAATCTCGCGATGCATATGCGCTGCACTTTAGCCTAATCACTATGCGTTGAAACACTGCATGAAGAAAAAGTCAAAAATCAAGCAATACCTGATGCATACTGCTCTTTCAGCCGCTGCAGTGTTACCGCATACAAGTGAGGATATATAAGTCCGGGTATTAAACTCGTATCTGCAGGTGCATGAGATCGAAAACATACGTTCATTGGTTCCGACCTGCAGCGCAGTGACACACCGGTCAGGATGGAGACAAACCTATTAACAAACACAGCTCGCGTACTTAAGACTGTCTTCCAAAACAACAGCGCGAAATCCGCCTGGACATGAAGCGAGATAGCCACCAACACTCGGACGCTGTTATCCCAGAGCTATGCTCACAAAAGTCATGATTTTACAGATCATCTCTATGAAAACCGCACGGGATGAAATCATACGAAGGGGCATATGAATGTATGTAGAAGTAGATCGCAACCTTCGACCTTTCCGAATCCAAAGCACCCCGGGGGCGGTGGCTTCAGCCACCGCCACCACAGTCCACAACCAACACCACCATGACCTGCGAGCGGTAGATTATACGCGTTGCCCCTCACCAAGCTGAGCCATCTAGCCTGATGCCATCTCCTGTCTAGAAGAGCCTGTGGGGGCGGGAAGGAACCAACATCTCGCCACGCACCTCCGATCTCGACCGGCTTTTCTACCAATCTATTCCTCTCTCGTCGGAGGAAAGCGCGGTACTTGCCAACCATCAAGTTGGTCCGAGTAGCAAATCTGCAGACGTAGTGAGGCTGTCAATGGCGTTGTATCGGGCATAGCCCGTTCCCAGAAGACGACAAGGATCTCGAGGCCCGCATCGAAGGCGTGTTCGCCATGGTCGACTCGGACACGAGGTCTGACCACTGGCTGCAAGCCCCACGCAGATCATTAGCCTCATGACTTGGCCCGAGCAATTAAATGCCGAAAAGTCAACGACAGGGGTTATGGTGCTGACTATGGTGCTGAGGTGCAGGAGGCCATCGCCACATATAAGCGAGCCAGCTAGTGACGTGGACATGATGAATGTAACGTCGCTGGTAACAGCAGTTTTACACGAGAGCAACTGCCATATCGGCCGATTCATTTGATACAGTACACACTGCATAGCCTAAAATGTAGTGGGCGGGCACTTGCGAAAGCCACCATCGTACAATACATAATTCGGATGTAGATATATGCATGCATAAGATTTGTGCTGCCAACCGACCAATCAGAGAATGATTGGATTCATTGCTCGGTTAGCTCAGTTGGCTAGAGCGTCGTACTAATATTCGCGTTCGTGAATACAAAGTAATGCGAAGGTCAAGAGTTCAACCCTCTTACTGAGCATAGTGGCTTCATCAGAGGCGATATCTTTTTAGAAATATCTCCTACGCTGCACAGGAACGATGATGGTAGAAAACGGAGCTCTGGACTAAGTTTAGCTCGTGAGCTCATCTTGGCGCTTGAGATCATGTGATCAGCTTATGTAACAGCTAGACATGAATTTATCGATAACACAAGGTCCCCGAGAGTGTGTGCGTTTCATCTAGTCATCTTTGTCAGAGGAACTTCATCTAGCGGCATGCTCGACTGGTGGTTCCCGCTTACGTCAGACCGAGTCGCTGACTATTCGGCAACGAATCCTGCTCGACGTTGTCACACACTTTCAACCAACGAATCATCACGTAATTGCAATCACAAACAACTTGATCCAACGCCCAACGACTAACGCCGTGAAACACCTCGCAAAAACCCAGGCTAGAAGAAGATGACGACAAAACGCATCGCCCAGGAGGTCATCGACCAGCTCAACCTCCGGCCGCACCCGGAAAAGGGCTTCTACATCGAGACCTTTCGCGACAGCACCACCGTGTCGCCCGGCTCTACCCGGCCCCAGAGCACCCAGATCTACTACCTGCTCGCGGGCGGCGAGGGCGTCTCGCACTGGCACCGCGTGCTCGACGCCGTCGAGGTGTGGCACTACTACGACGGTGCGCCCCTGCAGCTCTCGCTCTCGTGGGACGACGGCCGGCCCGTGAGGGACGTCGTGCTGGGGCGCGACCTGTGGGAGGGCCAGAGGCCGCAGGTCGTTGTCGAGCGCGGCGAGTGGCAGCACGCGAGGAGCCTGGGGGACTGGACCCTTGTCGGGTGCACTGTCGCACCGGGGTTTGTGCAAGAGGTCTTTGACATGGCAGAGCCTGGGTGGGAGCCCAAGGGCGCTGTCGAGGAGAAATAATGACTGAGAGAGTGCGGTGTTCACTGTCGGGACTGCGTGGTACTCAATTGAGGGAGGGAGAGAGAGGAGAGTAGGATCGAATGTTCACAGTATCTTCCGATTTTAGACCGTTGCGGCCTGCGAAACAATCGAATGTTGATGTACGAGACAAGTATTTTTTGATATAATCATCCTTGGGTGTCCTATCAGTGCTATCAAGATATCAAGAGCCAGAGATGATCGTTTTGAATTACTGAAAGGAATCGAAATAAAGCCTCGTCTATATTTCTCCCCCACTTTTGACTAGGTCAATCTGCTTCTACGAAGTGGTTAAACTGACGCCCTAGGATGATATCGGATGAAGAACCGCAAGGACGTTCAGCAATTATACTTACAAAAGTACCTCCGCCCGCCGGCAGAGGGCAGGCCTCGAAATGCATCTGCATATGTCCGCCTGAGCTGTAGATGATTATAATGACAATACCTTGAGTGAGCATCTGCGGTCCTTTCTATTTCTTGTCTTACGTGGTAACGGTCTACTAAATTGTGGTGAAGCTGTCGTGTTAGATTTATCCGTGGCAGCTGCTGTTGTGGGAGGTGCCAATGTCGTCGAAATCATCACTATCATGGCTTCACGGTCAACCGCGGTGCCAAAACTTGTGACTGTGGAAGTAGACGTCTGGATGCCCGTGACGGCCACATAGGGTCGCCATCACGGCAAAGAACAAAAATAGATAGCCATGAGCCACAGCGGCACCGACTGCAGGGTTTAATATGCCCTGGAGGCCGTTGCTCGGCTACGAAACGATGTTAGCCATCACGTAGTCAGTCGTGGTATTCGCGTTTGTTCTGGCTCGTTCTTATGTCCCGAGCTTTGACTCTAGGTAATTTGATACGTCCCTGATCTCGGGAATGCGTCGTGAAGGTGTAAATCATTTGTTCCTTGGGGATGAGGACTACTTGATCCATATGTACTTCCACGCCTTTATCGTCCAAGTCAGCCGGAGCCACCACCCTAGGCATCTGCCTACACTTTTGAGCGTCGTCGACGGCCTACTAGACCGCAAACTCAGCTCCACGACGATAACAACTAGATATAGCAACCCGGCACGGAAGATTAGTACGTTGTTCTCATCGTTACCAAGTCATAAGTAGGCGTTGTCTCGCATTTTATATCAACTTCCCCGGTTTAGGCGTTTGGCAGAAACGAGTGCAGACCCGACAATTCAATCTGAGCTGAGTCTTTTCTCTTAGGAGGTATTCTTCGTAGTATCGCCACACATGGGCTGATATATTTGGAATATTCTGGAGTTCCGAAATCTAGGCCTGCGGAATTTTTCTTTCCGGGGTAGGTAACTGCAGAGCGCGCAACCAACTGTGAAATTGTGGTCCTGCAGCGGCTGGAAAAATATTTTGACGATATGCACAACGTCAGATGAAGTACATCGGTATCTACCGAGCAGACATGGGATTTCGAAGGTCGTTACCATGGAAATCTAGAAGCTGGCGGAAACTCGAAAGTGCCCAACACACCCAGCACAATCGCCTTGGCTCTCGGAATCACCGTATTATTCATAAACTAGCCTATTCGTCGCCAGCCCCTTCCTTGGGTCTCGACGCTATCAGCATTATAGATGTCAAAAAATCTAGTGCGATAACTGGCATTAAGTGAGTCGGTTAAGCAGACCTGGTCTTTACCAAGTACAGTGCTTCGCGACATCTTGTGCAGGAATGTGGCGTCGACGAAGCGACTATGCCCCCTGTCGTGGCTCGCGTGGACACACCGAGCTGGCAGCCACAGTCGGCGACTCGGCCCAAGGTCAGCCCGTGTGGCGCCGCCTTGTCGAGCGCGCGGTCGAGGGCTGAACGTCGCCCCATGAGTCGATAAGGCGAGCCGCTGCTAGAAGGGGGGCCATAGCGGACAAAGTCGCCGGGAGGCGTTCGTGATTAATCTCCGGAGAGCGGTCTACAGTAATGCGCCGAACCGGAAGATTGATCCTGTTCTCCATCAAATACACCGTGCCGTTGATTGCAGCTCAGCTTTCCCATCTCTCACTGTCCCCCTGAACGCACCCACTTCAATCGCCTCCCCCCACGCAACACCTTTCTTGGCTGCTGCCCACATTCAGCCCTCCGCGCCTGTCACTTTTGACAGCCATCATTCCGCGTGGTCCTCAACAGTACTAGCCAGCCAGCCTCTCGGCGGCTTCCCCGCGGCCCGAACGACGTCTCGGAAACGCTGGCGACGACAAAAATCCTGTCTGGAGCGGCCGTCGCGCTCGCGCTAGGATACACGCTCTCGTCCACCATGGGGCCAACACTAAGCATCGCCACAAAGATTGAGATCAAGGCCTCTCCTGCAGTCGTTCGCTCTGTGGTGCGTCTACGCCCACTTCACGCTCCCAGCCAATGCACGATTCGCTGACAGTCGCGAGATGACAGTTCATGTCGTGGTCGCAGTACCCGAGCTGGCAGCCCAACCCGAATTGGGACCTGCGGGCCAGCGAGGCGGGCAAGCAGCCGCTCGATCTCAAGGAAGGCGACGGTCTGCACGTCAGCATGGACGGCAAGGCGCATCAGCCGATTGTAGTGGTAAGCTGACCCTGATAGCCTGTGTTTCTCCGCCTCTTCACTGCGCCGCAAGCTGATGCAAAACACGTTTGTGACGCGCAGGAGAACTCCCCCGCGGCATTCAAGTGGAAGGGCTCTCTCTTCGGCCTGGGCAGCGGCGTGCATCAGTTCCACTTTACACCCAGCGAGGAGGACTCTGGCGCTACGACGTTCGTGCACGGCGAAGACTTTGAGGGCCTGGCCATCACCCTGTCCGCGCCGTGGTGGCGGGGCCGCTCCTTTGATTCAGACGTGGGGCCCTGGGACAAGTTCAACGCGTGCCTCAAGGCGGAGGCTGAGAAGGTTGCTGCTGCTGCTCCTGCTGCTGTCGGCGGAGGACGAGCGGAGTGATTGGCGAGCCTGGTGTCCTAGCAGTCCATCGTGCGTGTTCTTGACGGGGTTTCCCGGCGGCGAAATCCTGGGGGCGGCATAGAAGCGGGCTTTGCTGAATGTAACTATGCTACTCCGAGTACTGCAAGACCTTCCACGTGGTTCACGTCCCGTTTCCAGACGAGCGCTGTTGCAGATCTGCGTTGTTTTGATTGGTGACAATTGCTGGTCGGGGCCCTGGAAAGCAAGGCCTTGCGTGCAGATTTCCGTTTTTCAGCTGTTGGAGACAATGGCACCCTGTGATGGGACGTGTGTTTCTGCCGACTAGGTGGGCGATTGCGTTGATCGAGACGACTTGAGCAGTGGCAGGCATGAATGAAGGAACGCAGAATGTTTGCTCATCTTGGCGAATTAGCTAGCGCTACCTTATCCAGAGGCACACTGATGATCTATCTTCGCGTCAAGCTGAAGCAGCCAGCGGTTTTCTTCCTCTGTGATGCGTTGCCGTCAGCTCAGATAACATGCAGACATGCCAGAGGACATCCTAGAGTCGGTCTTCTTTACGCCTCAGGAAGATCACACCGTGAGCGGATAAGGCCGGTATGCATCCCCAGGGTCGTCTCAAGATAGAGAGACCAATCGCGGATGCGAGAGAGGTGTGGCACGAGATCCACATCAAAAGCCGTTGCGATGGATTGCTACATGTAGTATGGAATTGTGTCAAGATTGTGTCAAGAGGCGTGACATCGATGGTGAGCGGCGATCAACACCCGCGCTAAGCGTTGCTTTCCGCAGACAGTCTGCACTCCCAAATCAACCTCCTATTTCTTTGACGAATAGGTTGAGAGGTATGCTGGCAATCCGTAATGGGTGGTCACACGACCTAGTCTTGGCCTCGCGGGACCTTGTTCTGTTTTTGGCGAAAGGGTAACGTCACAGGGGTTTGCCTCCGGTGGGGTGTCTAGGGCATCACGATTCATATGGATAGGATTGGCCGATTCCCTTCGTCTCCGTTCAGCTGCGAAGCTAATGGCTTATCAGCGAAGGATGCTCGATGCACTCGATTCCTCGGAGCTGGCTGAAAGCAGGGCAGAGACCCCGGGAGAAGGAGGCAATGAACGGCCGACTGGGAACAAAGTCGCATCGATCATGTGGCGTGCCATTGCATGACATCCCCCGTCACTCTGAGGCC